AGGCTCAGGTGGGAAAAAAAGAAACTAATGACAGGGATTAAAGGTAACAAGGCAGAGAGAAGGAAGAAGCTACTTGCTCATGTATGACTGGGCAACTGAATTAAACACAGTAAAAGGACTCTTTAGTAAATATTAGGAGGGGAGAAAAGAAGTGTTTTCTATTAAATATTCATGAAGTGCAGTGAGTAAACAGTATGAAAACAGCAAAACATGTTTCATAGATTTCTGTTTGGAGTTATGTACTGCCATGAGAAAGTGGCAAAAAGAACAAATATCACCAGCAAGAGAGAAAGCAGGGAGTATCAGTTCAAACTCAATTTCATCCTTCAGCGTGGTTAGATGAACGCCTGCCTTCAGCTGTTAACAATGCATTGTTTAGATCTGGGGAAATTCTGGAGGAGTAATGTCAAAATTTTCTCAGTGTGTGAAAGCTGGAAAGGACATATTGAATAATTATCAGATGACATTCATAACCATCGCAAAGAGATAGCTAATGTGGGCTCTTGTCAGTAAAAATTGGAGGTTAAAATATCATTAAAACCAGTCACTGCAGCATCTCAGAAGGTAGGCCTTACTGAACTTCTTTTGCCAGGGGGCTGTCTATGCCCTTCAGCATGCTTTGAAAATTTATATAATTCTGAGTGTGAAGACAACGGTGTTCACATAACAGCCATTGATTTCTTCAAAGCGTTTTAGTCAATCCCACAATAACACTTTGATTTAAAAGAACTTCTATTATATGCAATTAGCACTGCATGGATTAAAAACTGACTCACTGGTGGATCTCCAGATGTCACTGCTAATGAAAAGACGTAAACAAAGACTATTATTGTGAGGAGTTTTTTTACCCAGAGATTGATTTTTTTGTCCAGTACTATTATCAGTGATGGAGACGACATAAAATATTATGATAAAGTTTGCAGACGATTGTAAATATTGAAGAGTGTGTATTACTTTTGCCAGTGGGGCTGAATCATTGGATTGAGAGTTCTGATCTAACAAAAAGGCAAATTAAAGGGGACAAATGCAATGTATTACGGATGGGGTCGGTCAGTATATCTGTGAGATAAGATACTCTGGGTCAGAGAGGAGTTTTGCAGCGTGAGTTTTGAAAAATGCAGTGCATTCAGCTTATATGAGAGACCAAAGAGAACTACAGTGACCACTTGGTACAGCAACAAGCAAATGAGAGACCTTAGTCACAGCTCACTTTTCAGCCCAGGTGTTGAAAGCAAAACACTTTAAGATGTCTGGAAGATGGATAAAAACAAGCATGCTGCTATCAGCAAGCATAGTGGTTACTGGGGACAGCAGAGGACTTGCACTTAGTGGATGTGTGAAAACCTCATCAGAATTCTTGGCACAAGTACCAGCCTCATTTCAGAAGGGGTGGTCATGCTGCTGCCTGTTTCTTTTGGCTGGGGAGTCTGAGAGGTTACATGCATGCAAGTAAATGGCATGCAGCAATGGTCTGGAGGCCCTATAGGTATCAGTCCCTACTGTTTAACAATTACTTAACACACAGCAACTGACACTCCTGACAACACTGAGCACATAAACAGGTAGCAGCATCCCTGAAGATCAGGGAACAGCTCTGTAAGGCAGTACCAACGTGGCCGGCCTCATTGGGCTGAATAAGGAAGATGTTTTAGCCATGTGCATGCAGTGCTCACTGCTACCCTTGTCCACAGGGTCAAAGAAGAAGCTGATGCCTGTCTTGTTCAGCAGTGTGGAGATGTCCCTTTGCAGGCCTGCTGCAGAATGCTCATACTGTATTGCCCTCCACATGTCCATTACATTTGTAGCTCTTCATTAAGACAATGAATGTATTAAAATCTTGTGTGTCTGGACTTCAGCTGGTTGGCTGCCATAGCAGGGGAAGGCTCCTCTCTGATATACAATAGTCCAATTGTGTTTTGGGGGCAAAGGCCCTCGTATTTTCCATCAGGATCATCTGGAGATGTGGCACCACTGCTTGTTAAAGAAGCCAACCCCTGCCAAGCCTTTGGTCAACCTTAGTTTCTCCTTTAAGAGCAAAAGGCATATGGTTTCTGTAATTCCTTTGTCCTCCATGGGTTTAAGAGCTGAGATACTGAAGGTCTGTGAAACTTTCTAATAAGTGTATTGCCAAGGTATTTGAAGTATTATTTCCAAAAAGCACCCCAAACAGATGGGGCAGATGGTCTAATTGTCATATGAACAAATTTAATGACAAATTCCTCAAAATAAAGGGCATCTCAAAACTTGTAAAGAAGAAATATGCAGACTTCATTTCCTTCAGTGATTGTTTTTCACAAACATTGAGTGAATCATTTATGGAAATGTGATGCTCCAGTTCTAAGCAATATGAAGTTTAATATGTTAACTTATGAGTTCATGGGGAAGTTTCATGTGTGTTCTCACTATGAAAGAAAGAGAGGAAGAAAAGGAAGGAAGGAAGCAAGGAAGCAAGGAAGGAAGATACAGCACAGACCACAAATCCTAATGACACAGCTACGTGTGTATGTACATACAAGTGCCCGCATAGAGGAAAACATACTCAGGTGAATTTATTTGTCCTCAAAAAACAAAAAGAGATACAGTTGGACTGACTTGACTGCCTTTGAAATGGCAATGTCATTCCAACTTATGCAGACAGGCATAATTTCAATGCAAGCATGCCAACTTCCCATAGATGCAGCATATGAATGTATAGGTACTGAGAAATTGTACAGTTTTGTTAAACTGGTGGTCTGGGATTGAGAGAGAAAAGGAATTAGGGTCTGTACTTACAAGGTTGCCATGATGCAGAACAGGTTGTTGGATTTTCACAGTTATTTACTGTAATTCAGCTAAAAGCATGGGCAGAAGTTTTTTCACTTTCACACATGCTCCTTTATATGAAATTGCAAAGCGCTGTGAGGCTTCGAGCAAAGGGGCGTGCAGCATAGAGCCAGATTTCTAGCGTTGTCCCAAAGTAGAGCAAATTAGCAGGATCCCAAGGTTTGAACTTCACGAGCGGAGACACACGAGGGCACCACTGGGCGGAGGATGGCGGCTGGGTGGGAGTGGGCAGCTGCGGGCACCTTCTGCCTTGTTTTAATGGTACGGTACCTTGAGTCTTTGTGGTAGGTTGTTAATAAAAACAAGAAGACAAACGAGACAAAACGAACCTGCAAAAATTTAAGAGTTAATGATATTTAACTTTGACTTGTTTTCTCTTAATTTTTCTAGGCTGAATCTCTCAAAGCAAGATAATATTGACTAAGCCTCATTAAACTGATTCAGAGATATTTTTTTTTAAGAAACATGCAAAATTAATGAACAATGTTCTAATATCAATAAGGCACTTCAGAATGTACATTGCTCAACTATTGCTATGAAAAGATACTCTCTCTCTACCAACTCTTTAAGTTGGTGAAGAGATGATCTGAAATTAGCAAGGTCAGAGCAAGAACTTACTGCAGCCTTCCACTGCTTGAGGGGAACTCATTAACAGGAGGAGACCAATTTTGCACACAGGCAGATAGTGATAGGACAAAAGGGAGCAGTTTTAAACGAAAAGAGTGGAGATTCAAGTTAGATGTTAGGAAGAAATTTTTTACTCAGAGAGCTCCAGAGAAGCTCTGGATGTCCCATTCCTTGAGATGTTCAAGGCCAGGTTGGATGGAGCCTGGGCAGCCTGAGCTGGTGGGTGGCAGCCCTGCCCACGGCAAGGGGCTGGAACTGAACAGCCTCTAAGATCCCTACCAAACGAAGACATTCTTTGACTGTATGAAATACTTGGTGGGCTCTTAGGAAATCAACGCAAAGCAGCCTTTGCCCCAAAGATGGCCCCATCACAGGATACATTGTCACATATGCTTTATAGAGTTCTACTTTTTTTCTTTACTGATGAGGCTCAGCTGGTCTACTATGCCTATTGTGGGCATCGCATTCAAGAGTCTTGGGGAGACCAACAAAAAATGATAAATGCTTTGAAAACATGGTAATTTGAATTGAGAAATCTAAAGAGCATGTTACCTCATGAGACCTTCTGATGTACATGTGGAATATTGCCATAAGCAGGGTAATACCCATTGTGCTCCACAACCAGAAGAGGAAGGCAAAATTTAATTGGGTTAATTTTCAGAAAAAGAAGCTTAGGCAGAAACAGTTAATGGACACAACAAGTGGTCTGGAGACAATGTGTTCTTCAGTTGAGGTTTTTAAAACCATGGCAGAAAAATACGTTGGGCTTGACCTGAAATATATTTAATCCTGCTTCCCTCTGAGCAGATGCCTAATAGAAGGCCTCTTGAGATTCCACCTTTTATGATATCAGCCTTGCACTAAAATCTTATTGATGGAACATCCTGCCCAGGCTTTTTGCATATTTAATAACGTCCAGTTCTCCCTCATCTCATATAATGACGATTAAAAAACAAACTATGCCAGGAAAGCGTTTCACAATCGTGCTTACTTTCTGCCCCAGAACTGCCATTCACCAGGGGCAGAACTGGGCAAACAAACACAGGTGAGGGACAGGCAGAGACAGTGCTACTACCACAAGCCTGCGGCCGGCAGGGCTCAGCAAGAGATGAGCTTTTTTTCGCTGTTGCCCTTCTCCTCTTCAACGCCATTCTCTCCTACCAACTAAAAGAGGGTAATAGTCATGGAATTCTTTCAAGCGGTGCCCAGTGTCAGGACAGGAGGCCGTGGGCACAAACCCACAGAGGTTTTACCCCAGGAGGCTCCTCCTGAACACCAGGAGCAGTGCTGCGCTGTGCGGGTGCCGGAGCACTGGCAGCACTGGCACAGGCTGCCCAGAGGCTGTGGGGTCTCCTCCCTGCAGCTCTCCAGAAGCCGCCTGGCCGTGGGCCTGGGCACCCTGCTCTGCGTGGTGCTGCTGGAGCAGGGGCTGGGACACGGGGACACAGAGGGCCCTAACCGCTCCAACGCAGGCGGCGCACCCGCCCCGCGCTGCCCGCAGGAGGAAGCGCTCGGACTGAGGGCGGTGCGGAGCGGGGCGGGCCGGGGCGGAGCTGGCAGTGCCGACCCGCCCCTCCGCCCGCAGCCGCCGCCGCGGCGGGAGAGGTGACAAGCAGCTGCGTGGAGGCGCCGCCGCCCGGCTGCGAACGGCCGCTTCCCGGCCCGGCTTCTCCGCGAGGTAAGGCAACCCCGAGCCACGATCCCTGCGGAGAGCTCGGCTCCGTCGCCCTCGGCCCGCGATACCTAGGCGGGCGGCGGCCGACGCTCCCCGGTCTCTGCTCCCTCGTGGGTGCCCCCCCCCGCCATTTTCCCCTCGTGTTTCCCGTGGGAGCGGCTGCGGCGCGGCGGCGCCTCCCGTCCCGCGGCCACACAGGGCTCCGCGTGCTGCCGGGAAGCGGCGGCCTCGGGGAGCCGCGGTTTCCTCCCGGCGGCGGCCCTGTGTCCCGTGTCCCCCCCCCCACCCCCTCACCCCCTTCACCCGCGGCCGTGAGCGCGGCCGCCGCAGAGGGCCGGAGCGCCCCGAGGAACTCCGTGCGGAAAGTCGATGTTGTGCTGCGCCGAGTTGCGTGAGGAGCGTGTGTACCTACGGGGAATGCGCACCTAGGTGCACACGTGGGAGATATATGCGCGCTGATAGATTTTCCAAGCCATGACGACATTGCCTGCAGGCTTCTGCTTCCAGATGTTTTCCTTTCTGTTTCTCCCGGGCACGTTTCCCTTCTACTGGGAGCAAGGATGCTCCCTGGGTGCTGCGGACAGGAGCAGTGGAGCATCTGTGTGCCCACGGTTCCTCATGGCCGCACTGTGCCGGTCCCGACCCCAGCGGCGTGGGCAGGCAGCGGCAGAAGTGCAATTAATGTTCAGCACGTGACTTGGCCCAGCACTTATCATCTTAACGTGGTGTTCGGACCTTGGTAAATAAGCACAGGTTCAGCCATCTGTCCTGCCTTCTCCTGCCCTGTGTGTGCATACCACAGTGTGCGTGTGTACACAAATGAGAAGTGTACCTATAGGAAGCTTTGGGGCTAAATATGTATTTGAACTCTTCTGGAAGTGCCCCGAAGTTACTATCAAGGACTGATGGAAAGCTCCTTTGATATGGTTTTTGACTACGTTCCAAAAAAACCCCAAACCAGTTGCTTCAGGATTGGTGATGCCAGTCAGTAACGTGCTTAGCTGTTTGCATACACGCTCTACAGCTGGTACTGCTGCTGGAAGGCATGCTGCTCTTCCCCCGCAGACAAGGCCCTTTTGTTTAGCTGTGGGTTCCAGGGGTGTGTGAAGCCAGGATGGGCCCTGTGGTCTCTCTCTGTAAGGAGGAGATGGTGCTGCTCATCCCACACCATCTGCAGCCCCAGGGTAGGGCATGTCGGTCTGTGGCACTTCCACGGCTGCTGCCATATGCTACAGCTTGTCTCTTGCAGGTGAGATTTAGAATGGTCTTTGGCTCCAGCGAGGGTTTTCAATAGCATAGAAGTCTGTCTGTCTTACCAAGGTAGTCTGCAGGATGGTAGCTGTATGGTGATGTTTTTCTGTAGCAAAGAGATTGGCTGTGCAGTGATACCTCTGTGCTATGTAGATATGAGGGTGGGCCCCATGACGGATGTCACTTCAACACATTTTTCCTCGGAAACTTCTCTCCTTAATCATTTATGGCCCTCTCTGAATAAATAGTGTATTTTTAGAGCTCGGCAGACCTACCAAAATCTCAAATCCTTGGAGTTGATCTGTTTGGGATTGCGATGCTGAAATCTTCATTTGAGCATCATTTTCTTAAATTTGGCTTTTGCAGAATAACAGTTGTCATAAGAAGATTAAAAATAAAATCTACTTGCTGTTAACACTTGGTGGGCGAAATTTTCATCTTGTCTACTACATCTGCTCTGCAGTTTCTCTGCTGGTTGCACAGTCTCTAGAGCTGTAGGATGCAGCATCAAATAGATTTTCTACTAACCTAGGGATTCTCAAACTGTGGTGTGTGCCATGCAGAAGCAGCAGCTGGATTCTGCCACCACTGACATATGAATCCTCCAAGTTTGGGAACCTTCCTGGTCTTGTTTTCTCTGAGCTTGAAAGCTCAACTACAAGACAGCAGAAAAAAATTCTGTGAAGAGTTTACGGCAGGAAGAAGAAGCACACACAATTGGTATTCCCTGTGCTGCCTGATGGTGTTAGGTCCTCTGGGCAGCTCTTGGAATGTCAGCAATTTTTAATGATTATTTTACTCTTCAGACTGACGAGTAAAATTACAGAGCTTAATTTATTTAGGTTTGGCATGTTCTCACTGAAACTGATGCCATATCAGGTGAATGAACAGCCTGCTTGTTTATACCACCTTCCCTCCCCCTTTTTATAGGCCCCCATAGGTATTGCTGTGATACTACTAGAAGGCTTCAGAATTTGGTCTAACCTGCCAATAAAAACAGAAACAGAGAACTACCAACAGCATTAAACCTGTTATTGAGGAAGATATTTTAACACTGATGACGATCAGGGTAGAAATCTCACTTCAGAGGGCTCCATTCAGCCTTTCAATCACATTTACTGCTCTTCTATATATTTTTTCTGGCAGTTTATTGTTAGCTGTATGGTGCTGGACTACTCAAGACAGATATGTACATGCTACCTTCATCTTTGCAGAATTGAAAAGTAACCTAATTGGCTTCCTGATCTTATGCCCCTCTATCATATTTCAAACTCTGTCTACTCATTACTGCCTTCCAGATGTCTTGTACTAATCAAATCTTTGCTGGATCTCTTTTCCTCACATGCATTATTATTCATTTTCCTATAGGCATCCCAGAAATTAAAATGCTTGATGTAATTTTCTTTTTTTTTTTTTCCTCTTTTTCCTTTTTTTTTTTTTTCTTCCTTTTGCCTTTCTTCAATATTCTCCCATGTTCATTTGCTACTTTATGTAAGTACAGTTAATTTAGAAAGCATTCATTAAGATGTTACTGAAGAGAAAGTCAGGGAAAGTGTTGATCAAATATACTTTTCATTTTCTGGTAGCTCATTTCTGACGAATAAACCTTTAAAAACCAAAACAATCTCCTTTTTCTACTAGTGGTATTTCCCCTGCTCTTTTAGTGTAGTCTTCATCATTTACCGATGAATGATTTACAATAACTGAGTTCTACACCTTCCAAACTTCAGAGAACTGCAATACTGAAACTCTCAACTAAATGTAGAATAAAAAGACAGTTGAGTACGGCTCAGACAGACCTAAGTATGAAGGAAGAGCAGGCTTTTTCAAAGAGCTGTAAGTATCCAATAATGCAACAGTTCATCCTTGCCTTGCAGACCAACATTTCAGTGACTGATGAAGATGCCATTGTCAGGCACTTTCTGTGGAGCACGAAATAGGCCCTTTGCTATCCAAGGCTTAGGCCACAGAGTGCTTTAAGACAGCAAATAGGGTTTTGAGCACAAAAATGCAGTCTGGAAGACAGGAGGATTGGGGTGGTGATGGTATGCAGATGTATTACTGACATGCTCTGGAGCAGTAAAATTTCCTCGAGTGGGAAGTTTCACGACCTGCTATGGCGTATTGTGCAGGCCACTCTTTGCCTAGATAGGGCTGAGACAGCAACACTGTCATTGAGTAATGTTTCAGTATGAAAGTATAATGTCAGTGTAAAGTCCAGAAATACTTCTGACCTATGACCGGTTGAGATCATGTATCTTAAAGCAACAAAGCTAGTCTGTAGGTGGCTGCAGACTCTTTTTAAAAAGTGTGGGGGTTTATTTTTTGTTTGTTTTTTTGTTTTTTGCTTACTGGTGAATTCCAGATTTAAGTTCAATTCAACTTAACATCAACTGCTCTTCAGCAGCAGGTTGTTTTGATCATGCTGCAGCTGTTTGTGCTGAAGGATAAATAGCTTTGTTGTCTTCATATTGTGAGAATTAGAGGCCGTTTCTGACTCCTTCACGTGCTGGTTTGATGCTGATGTGGGGAATAGGGCAGAAAGAATTCTGTTTTGTGGGTCTCTGCTTGGGAAGTAACAAGGGGTGGTGGAGCTCCTTCTTACTTTGTGCACCCTCTGCTGACAGACAAATATTTCATGCCTAATGGTATCAAAAAGAGGTCCAGGAGGCTGAGTTTGCTTGAAACTGCATCTCCTTTGACTGGAAATCATGTGGTGTTGAGAAGAGTCCATGCCTTCTGCTTAGCTTGGTGTCCCTGGTCCATAGCTTTAGGTTCAATTAAATGAGCCGACAGTTGGCTTTGTTACTGATCTTTCTCAGGAATGGGAGATTTGACACTAAAGAATGGTTGCTCAGTAGATCCATGTCAAGTTTCTTCAATGGTGCTAGAACTGTTACTTTTTCAAAGAAGAAATACTCAAGAAGAAAATTTACAAGTGTTTTGTTAGTGATTTAAGACTGTAAAAATGTATGGATTTGGAGGTCTGGGAATAAAAACTGTTAAGAAGTACAGGGATGTCTAAATGCTCTTGACTTGGGTTCCAAGTGAGCTGTTAGTGGGTTTGGATGAAGGGTGTACTTGTTAGCTGAGAGGGGTTTCCAAGTAGGCACAAGGCTTTTGTGAAGTAGGACACATCCCTGTGGTGCTCTCAGTTTATATGGACGTTGTAGGCTCTGAGCATTGATGGCCTTGATGGGTGGCTTTGATGAGTTAGATATCTAACCTTTATTTGCTGTTCTCAAATCTGGAACTTCTGGTTTTTTGTATGTTTACAATGAATTGTTGATATATCAAAGTAATTTCTGGATATGCTTCTGGAGTAGTGGCTGTCGGGGCTTGAAAGTAAGTGTTCACTTACTGTAGCCTTTAAGTGAATAAATGTTAACTTTAGCTTTTCAGATTAGTGAAATATAATAATAATGCCTTACTAGAAGCATCTTAAATTTCATGTCTGCAGAACAGGTATATTAAATGTTTCCTGCCCCGTGCTTGTGCTTGAGTCTTTGGCTTAACAGCATGAGGGGAGAGAAGAAAAAAAGACATAGGCTTTAGATCTCCTCTAGAGAGCATCGGGTGATGCAACTCATATTAGATATTACACTCTTGGGATTCTGCATTGCCTGTTGGCAGTTAGAGATGGGTCTTGTGTTACTCAATTCATTCACTTAATTTCATAATACTTCATGCTTTTTGCTTCCTGTTTGTGCTGGAGTATATTTCTTGTGCTACTTGCAGCTTTTAGATTATAT